TTTGGTGTGCCTCTGCAACCATTGCAGTGGCCCTGCTGCTCATATATGGGGTTCCCTCAGCCTCTGCCCAAAGAAAGAAGGAGGTGAGGATGCTGTTTTCAGCAACACGGGCTTTTCCCAATGAGTGGGGCTTGAGAGGGTCTGTTCTCTCCTTCCTGACTCCTTTCCCCGCCGGTTCTGTCTTAGGTGCCTCCAATTCCTCCCTTTTGGGAGTTGGGGGGTTTGCGAGAGAAGAAACTAACTGCTTGTGTTCTGGGGATGTTGAGTCTGAGAGTGAGTTTGGGTATGTGACACCTTGGCTTCTCTAGGCCTGTGCGTGTACACAGTTACAAGTTTCGATACTTTTTTGAGTATGGGCCCTATCAGGTGGTGGGGGAAGTTCGACTTTAGGTCCAGCGGGTAGAATATCTAGTCTTCTGCTGTCAGAAGATGTAACTCCTGTTATAGACACCTAAGAGCAATTTATAGCATTTCCACTTCAGATATGTAAGACAAGAAAAAAGAGAAATGTAAAACTTAAACTGAAGAGCGAAACTATGCCAGGTTTATCAAATTGTCCAAATAATTCAAATCAATTTATGGGAGTGAAAGCTATTAAACCATTTTCAGTCATTTAACACATATCAAGCGTGCCAGGCTCCTATTCATAAGTGAACAAAACTAAGATCCCTCCTTGTGAAATTTACTGGTTTTAGCGAGTGGAGGAGATAACAATATTCTTTACTCACAAGCAATCCAAACAGGAATTTTAACACTGTTGAAATACTAGAGACTTAGAGCCATATGCTCTTAGAGCTTTACAGTTACTAGCAATAGTTTATGCTCTCCAGTTTTATTTTTTATAGATGAGGAAGACCGAGTGCTAACCTTACACAGTTAAATTGCAGAACAAGGCCTAAAATCCTAGGTCAGTCTTATGCTATTTCCTGTACATTTCTGTGCTTCCTCTAATACACAATACCTGTGCGTGTGCTTTTAAAATCCCATTTAAACATCTCAGATGCTTGTCAACTTGAGCTGAATTTAAAAAGATCCCATCTTTTGTTTCTGAATATTTGAACTATTCCCTAGTGGGGGGGGGGGGGGAGACAAGCTGGCAATTTAAAATGGTTGCTTATTAGCTTGGCAAAAAGTAAAATAAAAAATATACATTTTTTTAAAGGTATGGTGAAGTGAGCAGGCTCATATACTGGAACTAGAAATTGATGTGGTTTTTTAGGAGGGATCCAAGCCATTTTTACATGTAAAACAAGATGTAGAGAGCAATACGTACTGTTATATTCTGGATGCCTTTTATGTTAAAAAATGCTATATATAAATGCATATATATATATATATATATATATAATGAAACTTTTGTAAGAATACACATCAATCTGTTAACAGTGGTTGTTGTGGGACAGTTGGGATTGTTCATTAGGGAAACACTTTCACTTTTTACCTTATGTACCTCTATTGTCTGAATTTATATGACCACTTTAAAAATATATATATATTTTTATTGATCTCAGAGAGGAAGGGAGAGGGAGAGAGATAGAAACATAATGATGAAAGAGAATCATTGATTGGCTGCCTTCTGCATGCCCCCCACTGCGGATCGAGCCCACAACCCAGGCATGTGCCCTTGACTGGAATCAAACCCGGGACCTTTCAGTCCACAGGCCCACCCTCTATCCACTGAGCAAAACCAGCTTGGTCCACTTATTTTTTTTAAATCTGCAAATGAAGATTTTAAAAAGCTATTTAGCCCTGACTGGTTTGGCTCAGTGGATAGAGTATCGGCCTTTGGACTGAAGGGTCCCAGGTTCGGTCCGGTCAAGGCAGGGGTCCTCAAACTATGTACGGCCCGCGGGCCACATGCAAATACAAATACTGTATTTGTTCCCGTTTTGTTTTTTTACTTCAAAATAAGATATGTGCAGTGTGCATAGGAATTTGTTCATAGTTTTTTTTTAAACTATAGTCCGGCCCTCCAGCGGTCTGAGGGACAGTGAACTGGCCCCCTGTTTAAAAAGTTTGAGGACCCCTGGGTCAAGGGCATGTACCTTGATTGCGGGCACATCCCCAGTGGGGGATGTGCAGGAGGCAGCTGACCAATGTTTCTCTCTCTTCGATGTTTCTAATTCTCTATCCCTCTCCCTTCCTCTCTGTAAAAAATCAATAAAATATTTTTAACAAAGAGCTATTTAAAAAAATAAAATAAAAGCTAGTTAAGTTATATTTATTCATTTAATCTCTCATTGAACTAGAAGCAGAAGGGCCTAGTAGGAGATAAATTATTTTTAAAAGGAATAAGCAGCCCTGACCGGTTTGGCTCAGTGGATAGAGCTTCGGCCTGCGGACTCAAGGGTCCCAGGTTCAATTCCGGTCAAGGGCAAGGTACATGCCCAGTGGAGAGTGTGCGGGAGGCGGCTGATGGATGTTTCTCTCTCATCGATGTTTCTAGCTCTCTATCTCTCTCCTTTCCTCTCTGTAGAAAATCAATAATATATATTTTAAAAGGAATAGCAATGAATTATATACTTTAAAATGGTTAACATAGTAGATTGTATGTTATGTAAATGTTATCTCAAATTTTTTTAAAAAGGAATCAGGTTTTAACTCCCTTTCTATCATGCCCACTGTTCACACCCTTATCGATCACTCTCTCAAATCCTGACTGGTCATCCTTGAAACCATCCTTCATAGTGTTGCCAGAGATGCAAATAAAATCTGAGAACCTTTTCACATATTTTGCAAAGTATAAAAGGGCTTCTGTAGCCTGTACCTGGTCTGCTTCTTCCAGTCTCATCTCATCTCAGTCCCAGCTTCTCCTGTGCTAGTCATACTGAATTCCCTGCCTGCCTTGATCTTTTGCACTCTCTTGTGTCTATACTTGCTGGAATTCTTCTGGAAAATCTCCCTTCTCTCTCTCCCCACCCCCTTACCTGAGGTTTCCTACTCTTCAAGTCTTAGCTCAAACATTACTTTTTTCCTTAACTAAGTTTTTCCTGGTTCTTCCACATGAATTGAGATCATTTCAGCACATTGTATTATAATTGTTTATATACCAGTCTTTCCCATTGGACCAGTGGTTCTCAACCTTCTGGCCCTTTAAATTCAGTTCCTCATGTTGTGACCCAACCATAAAATTATTTTCGTTGCTACTTCATAACTGTAATGTTGCTACTGTTATGAATTGTAATGTAAATATCTGATATGCAGGATGGTCTTATTTGACCGCCAAAGGGGTTGCGACCCACAGGTTGAGAACCGCTGCATTAGACTGTGAGCATCTTGAATACACACACTTTAAATTAATATTCTTTCCCTAGCAGTGTCTTTCAGAAAGGTCCTCAGTAAACATCCAATTAATTCATTAACTGTGTGCATAGAATCACAAATCTGTTCTTTCACTTGCAGGTTTGTTTAGGTTTCAAATCCTAAAATTGGATTTTCTCATCAGTAAACAAGGGATTAATATAGGCTGGTAAATGTATTTTAGTTTTTACCCCTTTACTCTCTAACTGAGGATGTTTTAGGCTTTTAAAAAAGATTATGGTGCCGAAACCGGTTTGGCTCAGTGGATAGAGCGTCGGCCTGCGGACTGAAAGGTCCCAGGTTCGATTCCGGTCAAGGGCATGTACCTGGGTTGCGGCACATCCCCAGTGGGGGATGTGCAGGAGGCGACTGATCGATGTTTCTCTCCCATCGATGTTTCTGACTCTCAATCTCTCTCCCTTCCTCTCTGTAAAAAATCAATAAAATATTTAAAAAAAAGAAAAAAAAAGATTATGGTGCTACTACTTAGAGACAGTTTAAAAATATAGATGTTCTGTAGTGGAACACTTAGTTTTTTTTGTCCATATTTGAAAATTTTATTTTAAAAAATCCCAGGTCTATCTACCAGAGTATATTTGGCTTTTAATAGAGGGTAATGTATGATCTTATAATTGAAGTATTATTTTTTATTTTTATTTTGAGAGTAAATTTATTCTTATTTTTTATATGTTTTTGTTGATTTGGGAGAGAGAGAGAAAAAAACATCGATCTGCCGACTCCTACACAACTCCTATTGGGGATCGAGCCTGAAACCCTGGCATGTGCCCCTACTGGGAATCGAACCTGCGACCTCTCAGTGCCTGGGACAACTCTAAACCAACTGAACCACACCGGCCAGGGTGAGAGTACATTTATTAAAGCTGGGGACAGTGAAATAAGGAAGGGCTTAGGATAGAAGAATTGACAGAAGAGAGACTAGGTGGGCTGCTTTGGTTCTCTAGAAATATTATAGGAAAGAAATGAGTCAAGATGGGGCTGCTTTGGCTCGCTGGAAAGTCAGAGAAAAGGGGCCTTGGAGACAGGTTCCGGGGGTTAGCCTGAGATGAGCTGCTGCTGCCCATTGTTTCCCTAGTAGAAAGTCTCGTGGGGACCCTTAGAGTTTGGGAGATGCATACCTGAGAGGGAAGAAAGGTGTGGGCATGGCTCCTGGGAGGGAGAGCTTGCCCAATTTATCTTTTTTTTTTTTTTTTTTAGGAAAATACCTTTATTATTTTTGAAATGTTCCAATATTCAATGTAAAAACCATGATAGTGGCTTTTTCACTTCACAAATTATAGAAAATTAGTTTCCCCATTCCTTACAGAAACCCCCCCACCTCACCCCCCCGCATCCCCACCAATAAGACAGGGCTCCATTATGGCTGAAGCAGGGCAGGGAGGAAGGGCAGAGAATATGGCAAGTAGAACCAAGGCTCTTTGGGCAGCCAGGGGCTTTTCCTGCCCAGTTTGAGTCCCAAAGATCTGTGACCCCTCTGAGGCAAGCTCAGTCCACGCATATCTGTGACACACTGAGGCAGGCCTCTGTCTTGAAGGCTGACAGTGGCAGAGGGCCTACGGCGAGGCACTTGTGGCTGGCAGGCCACAATCAAGGCAGCTTCATGAGAGCGAGATAGGAGGCAGGCCTGCAGCTATAATTAGCAGTTAGTAATTTTTAGAAAAAGACACTTGAGTTGCTCAGTGTTAGGTTTGTATTTTTTAATCAGAACTCTGACTCCTTCCTTTCTCATCCATGGTCGGGCACGGGGTTACAGCTGCAGCAGAATGCTGTTTGTTGATTTGAAAAAACTGAAAATGTTTTGTACTTACAAAGGTGGATGAAATTCAAAAACTGATACCCACCAATTTTTATGAGAAACATGACTATTCCTCTTGAGCGTCTCAAGTCAAAACAAGGCAACCGCCTAGTGATTTATCGTCCCCACTACCCATTTTCCGCCTCCCAGAAGGCATTGGAGAAAGGGCCAACTTCCGCCAGGAGCGATTGTAAACATACCACTGACAGCTTGGACACTTTGTTTTTAAATGCAGCAGGACTTTTTCCTTTGGCCCTAATGGAAAAGCCAACTCCCTAGGGCTGTTTAGGCAGGAGCAGACAGGAGGGCTCCCCAAAACTTATGAGGGCCCAGTGGTCCCCTTGGCCGGAGTGTGGCTGGAGCATCATCAAAGGCAATCGATACATTTATGGCATATGAAAATTGTCCTGTGGTCCCCAACTGGCCCCCAGGCTCAACCTGGCTGGATGTGGGGCATGGGAGGTACAAAACAAAGCACATGGTTGAAGCGGTCCCCACACCAGGCCCAGAAAGATTATCTCTTCGCACGATTCCAAAAGTGTTGGAAAGTGGAGGAGTTGATGAAACTCACTATGAGCAGCAGCAGCAGGTACAGGAATATCATGACCGTAAACCAATGGCTGGAAAACCAGGACAGCTGGCTTGAAGCCCTCTTGGCCTGCTTCTGTGAGTACACCAGCAGGTACTTCACTCGCAGGAGCTGGTTGTTGGTGACCACAAAGTACTTTGGAGGGATGTCTCCCCCTTCACTGTGCTTGATTCTCGCTCTCCTGCGATCTATCTCCTTGGAATCTTTCTTCTTGGTTTGGAACTTGACATCTGGATGGTCTATGACCTCACACACAGCCACGCAGCTGAGGATGGGGCCAAGGAGGCTACGCTGCCACCCATAGCCATGGGAGCTATAAATGAGGGCCAGGCTCAACTCACTGGTGAGGTAGGTCCCTTCCCCGAACAAGGATGTCTTGTTCAGGTGGCAGTGCAGGCCATTGTGGATGATGGAATGGAAGTTTTCTAGGCGGCTCCCATGGAAGGCGTAGATTAGGTCTCGTTCTCCTTTGGTCTCATAAAATTTGTCATTCGCTGGGTCCGAGTACTCGATTTCAAATAGGAAGTCCGGCACAGGGACAGGAGTGTGAGGGGCACCAGTCAGCGTTTGGATCTTTTCAAACTGTGACTTCCCTGCACTGTGGACTGTCAGGACCTTTGAGGATAAAATCCAGCTCAGCAGGTCCCAGGCCCCTTTGTCTTTATCTTCAGAGGACTGGAGAAGCTCTTTCAGGTTGGGTAACTTGCTGGCATCTGCAAGCAGGGCCTCAAAGCCCTTGCAGTCGTGGCGGGCATAGGACGCGGGAAAAGGCCGCAGCGCGGAGTCCCGCTTGTAGCTCTGTAGGGCCGAAGTGAACAGACTGCACTGCGGATGCGCCGCCAGCGTGTCTCTGGCCGCCGCCTCCCTGACGGCCGCCCAGCCTGCGGGCTGCATCCTGGGTGGCCCGCGTGGCCTGAGGGGAGACGCGGCGGTTCAGGAGCAAAGGCTGTGCCTGCGGTCAGCGCAGGGCTGGGCCGGGGACAAAGGGCCAGAGGGGACTGGGGTTGCCAGGCCTGGGGTGGAGCTAGGCGGGATGGCAGGGGTGAGAACATGCTAACGAGTGTCCCCTATGAGGGTCCTGGCCGGGGCGCTCGCTGCCGGGGGAGACGGGCCGGTAGAGGAGAGGGAGCGGCCAGGGGCCGCGGGTCAGCGCGGCGGGGGCTGGGAAGGGCTGGAGATAATGGGGCCTTGTGTGTGTGGGGGGGGGGGGGGGGGCATCCCAGCCCTGGGGGAGGGTCTATGACATGGGATGAGCCCACAACGGCGGGAACGTGCTGACCCAGTGTCCTCCGCAGGGGTGTGGGGCTGGGGGCACACCAGAGG